CCGCGCCGCTCGCCGCCCGGCCCCGCGCTCCCGAGGCGCCCGGTCGGGGCGCCCGCCTCCCCAGCTCCGGAGCTCGGCCCCGCGGCTCTGGGGGAAATTTCTGGGCCTGGGCGCTAAGGCGTGTTCTTCAAAACGCAAAGAGCCTCTGCACTTTTCGGGTTTGTTTGTTTTTTTTTTTAAATTAGAACGGGGCTTGGCCGAGAGGAACAGAACAGAATGGGGTCAGACAGAAGAATGGTACCCAGGGTCACGTCGGCCGGCGTCTCAGGAGCTTTTCACTAGGCTGGTTATTTAACTGGTTCGAACCATTTCTTTAATGAGTCAGACCCATCCAGTAATTATGTTCACAATCCCGGAATCAAAATGGGGAAGTTTGTTCGAGATTTCCCATCTGACATGGGAACGTTAAAGGTTCACACGGACTATGGTTTCATCTCACCAGGGATGGGGGAGCGCGCCAGGGCCAGGTTCAACACCCCTCACCCCTGAAAGGGCCGGGAGTTGAGGCTTTGGTGTCCCTCAGGCCCCCGGGGCCAGGCAGGCAGTCTTCCTAGCAAGGGCGAGTGCCCCTGAACACGACCTCCGGCTTCACATCCTTCTGACCGAAGGGTCCCTGATCCCTGGGTCTTTAGAACACCTTTCTTGCCACCATTATGTGTTTAGAAAGAGTTGCTCCCGTTTCTTTTTGACTGAATACCCCCAGAGAAGTCACCTGGGAATATCCTAAAGTGGCTGATGGAAGACAGAGAGTCTCCGCCCATTTTAAATTTTTCCTCCTGCTTCTGACAGAGGGGAGTCACGCTGTGATGTTACCCAGCTGGAAAGGGGGATTAGGAAAGCAGGTACGGGGTGGGGACATAACAGGAAAGGGGAGTCAAACCTGAAATACCCTTCTCTTACCCCAACTGCCTTCCTGGAGCCTTATTTTGTCCTGTGTTTATTTGTTTAAAGAAGGAACTGGGAATTCCCTCATGGAGATACTGTCATGGTGTCTCCTCCCTGACCCCTGGGACTCCCAAGAACTCTTCTTGAAGTTCCCCCAAATGAGGAGGGGCTGTAAGATTACTCTCATCCAGCTATAAAGCAGAAGTAGCCTGTCCTTACCTTACCTGCCTTACCTTACCCCTAGACATGCAACCCTACCTCCTCAGTGCATCCCCAAGGGACAGGCTCCCTGACGCTGGCCTGTGTGACTGAGGTTCCAGACTTCCTGCACCCACTCCTCTCCAATTCATACACTCTCTGCTAATTTCTTCCTACACTGGGAAGCTAGTAAAACAGTAGAAACAATATTTTAAAAACCCAAACCACATTCTGTTCCGTAAAGGAAATGTACAGAAATTGACCAGCTGAACTCTGCAAGTGATTTCCCTTATTTGACTGGGAGAAGAGGGGAGTCGGGTGGAGAGTTTGGGTCATAAACATAAGAAAGGGCAAGTAGAAAATTTTGATTTGTGAGTCCGGGTTATTTGATAGTCCTCCACATAAAAGTCCATTCTATTCAGTGAAGAAAAAAAAATGTACTTCTGTCATCTGCATCAGAAGGCTTTGGTGAGATACAGTGGGGAGAAGTTTAATACAAGTAGGAAAATAAAAGCAGTGAAGGCTTTTAATCCCCCAATGAAAAAAAAGTTAAGAAAACATTAGCAAGAATATAGAAAAAAATGTACGTGTGTCTGAGCAGATCATTTTAGGAACACTCCACCGCACTGTTTATTGCAATCTCCCATTTCCCTTTGTTTATTTCCCAAGGTCGATCTGTGGGCCCCTGATGTGGGCATCTTCAAGGGATGGTTTGCAGGTGCTGCTGCCTTTACGAAGGTAATTATTACTGTCCCTTTTAATGTCTGGACAAAGCCAGAATCCTTTTCCCTGTGTGTCCTACTTTTATAGCGACTCTGACGCGGTAGATCCTAGAAACAGTATTCATTTAAAACCCTGTTCTGAAATTTTCAGGATGTGTTTGAGGATCCTGACAATTATAGTCCCCTTCTCCCCATTTAGCTCATAGACTCTATTCAGAATGAAGCGATTTGGGGGCATGTAAAAGGCAGTAAATTTCCTCATGCACAAAAGAAAATGGTGCTTTCTGCCCACTGCCCATTTCCACTCGAAAGTGAATAATGCCCCAGTTACCACCAGGCCTGACTTGATTTATCTTGGTTAATAGGATTAACGTGTCAGCCCCTCTCAAGAATTTCCAAATGCAGATCCGGAGTGTCACTGACTCGCTGGTGTCTTTTTTCCTCTCTGATGGACATAATGACGCACCTACAAGCAGAGGGCCTTTGTCCGGTGGGAGCAGACAGATTATCTGTCTCCAGTGAAATAAGGCGTGTTGCGGCCACCTTTGCCAAGACTCAAAGCCAGAACCCAGTCACTATAAAATAATTGTGTCACTACCTCACCAGGGCTCTGTTCGTGTTTCATTTCTCTTTTGACTGTAATTGAATGGTTGAAAAGCAAAAATGTAGACAAATTCCAGCTGTATTGAGATCTGTTTCTTCCTCCACTACCTCGGCCCATCATTAGATACATTCCCTCTCTGTGCAGGAGGTCAGAGTGTATAAATATAAATTGCATTTTGCATTACTTCTAGATGAGTGAAGCTGTCAAAGCAATAATATGAGCTTTCAGTCCCACATTCTACCACTTCTTTCCCATTTTTTGGCCAGGAGGTCATGTGCAAATTGAACGTGACAACCCAGAAGACATGTCCAACAGACTCGTATTGTTACCCCGCTCAGCCGCCTGGCTCATAACAACATTAAACCCACATTAGTCTCCAGCCTCCACCAGGGAGCTCGTAAACTCGGGACCCAGGCTTCTGAAAAAGTTCACTTCAGTGGTGACATTTCGTCTGAAAGTCGTAGGCAGCACTAACCTAAAATATCTTGCACCCAAGATTCATGAGGATGTCATGCTTAAAAAGACCAAGCCAGTGTTTCACAAGATGAGGGACAAAGAACAAGATAAAGAGCTAACAGCCCACCAACACACACACACACACACACACACACACACACACACACACACACACAGGAAAATATACATGCTTCTATTTGAAATTATGCAAAATTTCCAGAATCCAGTAGCCGTGTGGTTGGAAATCATTTTCGTTGTTGTTTGAACAACGAAGTTGTCATTTTTGAAAGCCACCTTAAAATACGGACTGGCCTTGTACTGTTATTTGCAAGTTCTAGTCAACATTGTTTTAAAAGCCCAATTGCATAACAAAAATTAAAGTTTTAGCAGCTTATTATCACCATGATTAAGAGATAACCCTCCTCCAACTATATTGCTGTGAAGGAATTGGGAACTTTCATCAATCTGAAGGAAGCTGAATGGCTCGGAGGATTGGTAATTGGCTATCAATGTGACCCGTTCATGTCTTGCCCAGATTGCAGTTAACGGAGAGCTGTTTTTCCCTGACAGGGTGTTTGATGGTTTCTAGGAAATGAGTGGCTGTTTTCATTCCTGTTCCAAATGGACAGGTGTCTACATCAGAATTGGCAACCTGGTTGGCACGCTCAAAGAGTGGCCAAAGAGCGAATTGTTTATGGAGAATAAACTCCCCTCCCTCCTGTGATGCCTGTGCACACGTGTGAGTGCTGGCAGTAGGGAGGGGGCAAAATGGAGATGCTGGAGACAGAAAGACTGATTCAAGTCCATGAAACTAAGCAAGCAGAAGCCCTTTGATTCCAAGTGGCGCCATATGCAACTGCACCTCTCCTGCCTCTTGCTCTCGGGCTTTAACCACATTATACTCTAAATGCACAAATAAAAGTCTACAAAAGGCACTTAGTCTTCCTTGGGAGGCTCTTATGAGTCTCCACAAATAAAATAAAATGAGTCCAGACTTTTTTTACACTTTGTTAAATAAGCACTATTTTCATATATCTTTCTTTTCTCCAAAAAAAAGTGTCATCATTTTCATCCCCTCCTTTATAGGTCAAATGAATTACGAGTGTTTAATACTGAATGTAGGATGATAGAAACTTGAGGAATCACACCTGGCAATGCCTGGTGCAAAGTAGGAAGTGTTGCCCTTGTCCTCAGTGGATGATATCATATTTTATCATATTAGAGCCAAGTGAAGAACGTCAGACCTGTGAAAATATTTATCCCTCTTTTTGCTTTTACATATAATCCCTACAACCCCAAGTTACTGTTCATGCAAAAGATTTTTACTTCTTGTTATTATAAAGCAGTGGATGGGTCGTACTCTTAAAAACAATCATTGTAATATGCCAGAAATCTGACGTCTTTTTATTATTTAATCTTTACTTTCACAAATACTAAAATTGTTTTAAGTTTTGGAAAAAGATTATTTTTAAAGAAAAAAAAAGATAAAAGATCTCTGACTATGAGACAAAAGGAGTCACTGTCATTGACACTGAAGATTTGCACTTAATTGGGGGTAACTTTTTCAGAATTATCAAGAACGTTTAGTTGTTCTAAATTTGAAGTTTAAGTTTCCAGTCACAAGATTTTAAAATTCTTCTCTCTTGTCCTAACTTTCCTCTTCTCTTCTTAAAGAGGTATTTGTGTAAATATAACATTAATTTTTAGTTAATTTTTACTCCACTGCATTGCCAGAAACTGTAGAGATGGAGGCCAAAGGCTTTGGAGTGAGGCAACCTCTTACACCTCTATGTGATGCATCCTGAGCCTCAGTTTCTCCATCTGTGATGTGGGGGTATTAACAGTCCTTAATTTGCAAACTTGTTCTAAGTTTCATGAAATAGATGCTTTCCATGTTTCTGAAAAAGAATGATTTCTCTACATTGTAAAGCACCATTATTGCTACTGATGATGTAACCCCTCTAAGTGTTAGAATCTTCATCTGTGAAACAGAAATAATAATGCCAATAAGACTGTAGACAGAGTTCATAGAAGATTTGACGTGGTGGCCTTCAGTAAGTGGGCACTGTATTTTGATGCTTTATTTAGAGAGATTTGGAAATGAGTGAAATAATTCACTTTTGGAAAGAAATGCATTCTTCAAGAGTTCTATTTGGTAGTCCTCCACGTCAGGATCCAAAGATTAAGTTGATAGAGGATGGCGCGAATGAAGCCAATGCTGAGAATGATGCCCTGTTCGCTTCCTTTGTCCTGTGACTAAAACTCACCCCCAGCCCTCTCATGAGTTCATCCCCCTGGGTTGGGGTGAGGAACCCCAGCAAGAATGGGCAGGTGTGGACAGCCCACGTCCACCTCTACTGCTGAAGACAATGGAGGAATTAAAATTCGGGGAACTTGTTTCACTGATTCAAAATGAGTCTTGAAATCTGAAGGAGCTTGTAGAGAGTTGGAAAATACTGTGTCCTTCCTCGCATTATTCATTCACTTCTAGAAATGGAATCAAACCTTTCTGGAGTTTACGTTTAAGGTTAGACCAAAATGCCACTTAAAGATTCAGCTTGAAAAAAAAAAAAAACCCAAAGGAATCTTGAAGCCAGCAGATTCCAGCAGCTGCAGCAAAAGCTAAGCAGTTCTCAGAAAACTGACTCTGCCTGGGGAGGAGCCATCAGTCCTGACTCACTGGGAACATCACTTGGAGTCAATAATTAAATTTTATTGGGGCCTTTGGAGGTCTATATTTTGGAATAAAATTTCATGTTGAAAATAGTATTCCATAGCTTGGGAGATTTCCTTATATATGAGAGTTCATGGGTACAACCTCCCTGGAAGATGAGGTGGTGGTTAAGAACTGGAAATTTCCAATCTCAAGCCATTTGTGTGCAACACAGCTAAATAAAATGCTTATCCTGACTGATTCTGTATATAAACCCAAACATTCCTTGAATGGTTAGATACAAGACCAGTTTGTTCAGAGAGCCTCTGTTCTTGATTCATTGTATGAAATTTGGGGGTGCATGTGTGTGTATGTGTTTCCACTATATCAACTGCCCAGTGATATTTAAAACCGCTCATGTCTTCAGTTTAGCAAGGAAGCCAAATGGCCTTGGCTTCAACTCCATCCTCTCTAAACATAACCACCTCATTCTGCAGGGCAGATTAGATTTAGTGAAAATTAAAATGTAGGCAGAGAGAAGTAAATTCTCTACCCAGTCACCACTGAAGCCCCACACAACCAAGAGTTTGGCGTTTGCCTGTCATCTGCTTTTCTGACCATGGGGAGCAGCTCAAGTGACAGGCACACAGATGGACAAGTTGTGTGATTAATGGCATCGACCAGGCCTGGTGGTGAGGATGCAGGAAATGGAGACAGGCTTGAGCTAGTCCCCTTTTTGGTTTAATGCTCCTTCCAAGGTTTGATGTCGAGAGGGATCAGGAAAAATTCCAGCCCCATTCTTTGCTAGAAAATCAGAAGGCACCCTTCTTGCTTTTTCCAGCATCACTTGCCAAGGCCAGACCTTTATGGGAAGCTATACCAGACTTCTGATTGGCTCACCAAGATCGCCTTCTCCCTCCCTCCCACCTTTGCTTCCTTCCCTTCCTTTGTTCCTTCCTCTCTCTCTTTCTTTGTTCTTTTCATTCTGTCGCTTTCTTTTTTTCTCCTCTTTCTCCCAAGCACTGTCTCACCTCAGCCATTTCAGGGTGCAAACTGTCCCACCAGAATGAGCTCTCTGCAGAATCTCTGATGAAAGGATGAGCATGCAAATTTGAGCAGGGTCAGAGCAGGCAGCATGAAGATCTATAGCAACTCCCAACCTAACCCCCTTTGACGACACCCCAGCCACTTTCTGACCAAATGGGTCATTCCTGAGCATGGTTCTTCTACTGCATCAAGAACACAGGAGATGGGTGGGGGGAGGGTATAGCTCAAGTGGTAGAGCACATGCTTAGCATGCATGAAATCCTGGGTTCAATCCCCAGTACCTCCTCCAAGAATAAACAAATAAACCTAATTACCTCTCCCCATTACCCCAAAAAATTTTTAAAAAAGAGAATACAGGAGACCAAGATTCCATCATTAAAAATGTGCCAAACTTGAGGCCACAGCCTCAGGATCATGTTCAAAGTGGAGAATTCTTTCCTTCACTCACTGACTTTTAAATTTTAATCTATTTTGAATATGTAATCTAGACATGTGAAAGGTAGGAAAGGACAAAATTGCTTCTTCAGTCCTATCTCCCAGCCCCTCCCACCAAGCTCACCAACATCCTTTCTTTAAATTAATAGACTTTTTTTTGTTGTTGAGGAATTTAAGGTCTATGGAAAATTTAAGTGGGAATTATATAGAGTTCCTACATATCCCCTCACGCCCCTCCCCACTTTGCCTCCCTATTACCACCTGGTATTGGTGTTATATATTTTTACAATTGCTGATCCACTATTGACCCATTATTATTAGCTAAAGTTCATCGTTTGCATTAGGGTTCATTCTGTGTTGTATGTTCTGCGGGTTTTGACAGATGTATGATGACATGTGTCCACGATTAGAATATCATATGAGAGAGTTTCACTGCCCTAAAAATCCCTGTGTTCTCCCTTTTCATCCTTCCCTCCCCATAAAACCTCTGGCAACAGCTGATCTTTTCACTGTCCCTGTAGTTCTGCCTTTTCCAGAATGTCATACAGTTGGAATCATACTGTATGATTCCTTTTCAGACTAGCTTCTTTCGCTTGCAACATGCATGTAAGTCTCCTTTATATCTGTTTATGGCTTGATAGCTCATTTCTTTTTATTGGTGTGTAATATTCCACTGCCTGGTTTGTTTATCCATTAACCTACTAAAGGACATCTTGACAAATAAGAAGTTTTGCCAATTATAAATAAAACTGCTATATACACTCACGTGCAGGGTTTTGCATAAATTTTCAACTCAAATGAATAAATACCAAAGAATGTGATTGCTACATCATATGGTAAGAGTGTGTGTAGTTTTGTAAGAAATTGCTAGATTTTCTTCTGAACAATGTGTTTCTTGGAGTTTCAAAGTATATATTAGTTATCACAATAGGTCTCTAGCAAAGATGGGGACCCAGGCACTGCCAACAATTCCTGGTGGACACCAAGGCTGTTGCTATTTAGAGGAACAAAGAGTCGATCTTAAGAGAGTGCACTTGACCAAGCTACAGGGGTTCATGTCTTGCCTCTGCTAGTTACTTGCTCTGTGATCTCAGGCAAGGTGCTTAACCTTTCCATGATTCTGTTTCCTCAACTGAAATCAGACTTGGTAATAGTACCCAGATGCTAGGGTTCTAAGCATTACCTGAGGTGTATCACGCATGTCTTAGCACACCTCTTGGTACAAGTGCTCATAAGTGTTCATTATTTTTATATCCTAGTTCAAAAACTAGCAACCCCCCTCACCTCCCCACATAACCAGTGCATTCTTTAGTGATGAATTTGTGTCACAGGGCACTCAGGTGCACCAAAGACAGAGCAATTTGGTACACTGTAAAATCTGGTGAGGAAAAAAAAAAAAAAGCACATAGCAGCTAAAGTAAAAGGAAGTCAAAATTAGAAAGGAGCTTTCTTATTTTAAGGTTTTGGTCCACAGAATAAATACGCTCACTCTAGCCCTTAATCCCCAGCAGTGTCTTGTTGGCTCAGAAGCCTCTGGGTTAAGTCCTGGGTTCTGAAATGCCCTCTCTCTGGTGACCTGCTGAAGCCTGCTTTGCACACACCCAGGCTAACCTCGCACTGCTCACGGTGAGAAGCCTCCTCACCCCGAGGGCCTGGCTAATCCCCCCTCATATTTTCCTTCCTCAGACAACTCCGCAGGCAGGCAGGAGGGCCATGTGGTCATTTTTTTTTTCCTATTTCTCTTGGCAATTCTTCTATGTTGGCATAACGATGTGTGCTAACGATGAGAAATAAATGCACTGTAGCTGTATCTCTTGGTACTGGGTTTATTTTGGAAATTAACAAACAAACAAAAAGGAAATGCTCTCCTGCACCTTCCTGATTAATAATCTATGGCTCCCACAAGGCCCTCACACCAGTGGAAATGGAAACATTTGAGTGCACCTACCAGCTGATTTGTCTTCATGATATCAGATAACTAGTTTTCCTGTTTTAACCGCATGAGCAGGGTTTAGATGTCAGGAGGTCAGAGCGTATGGAATTTTTCTTTTTAAACTAAGGGTAAACAGTGAAACCCGATAACTTATTCAGGGCATATGGCCCAAAAGCAGGCACTCGCTAATATGAGTCGTATCGCCTTAATAAAGCATGACACAAAGGGCATGTTTGGATCAAAATATTTCTGAATCACTGTAAAGCTGAAATGTGACAGCAGGGCTCAGAATCCTTCTTAGAAATTAACAAACGGGGTAGGTTTGAGAAGTTGAACCGTAGGACATGTGGGTCTGCTGGAGTCTTCCAAAGGGATGGTGACAGGCAGATGTTAAGACTGTTCAGCCCATCAGTTCCTGCGGGAAGAACAGGAAGAGGGCAGAGGATCAGAACCAGCAGGGTCTTTCAATTTTTTTTTTTAAATTGAAGTCTAGTCAGTTACAGTGTGTCAATTTCTGGTGTGCAGCAGTGTCCCAGTCATGCATATCTGTACATATATTCATTTTCTGTTTTTTTCATTATGGGTGACAACAAGATAGTTCAAGATTTGCAAACACTAACTACTATATATAAAATAGATAAACAACCAGTTTATACCATTTAGCACAGCAAGGTCTTTCTTGTTCGTCTCTTCCACTCCACTCAAGTGTCTTACTTACACTTCTGAGCACAGCTTACTAGAGTTGTGAGAAAAAGAAAGGAAGAACAAAGGAAGGAAGAAAGGAGTCAGTCCCAGGGAGCATTCTCCCACTCTACATTTGCTTGGGATGCACAAGGGCTCAGGGAAATCTCCCTCTTTGTCTAGAACCTTCTGCGCTATGAGGTCCAGTCTAGTGAGTTTGAGTAATGATTAACAGCACAGTATCGAGAATCAGACAGCAGAAACCAACTCGGAGGTCTGACTCCACCCCGCACTAGTCCTATGACATTGAGCAGTTCTTCTCTAAGCCTGAGCTTCCTTGGTTGTGAAACAGAAATAGTAATAGTAACATACCTCCTCCTGCTGCCGCACAGAAAATCCCAGTGCTTGGCATAGTTTCTGATGCAGAGTGAGTGCTCAGTTTAGGTCGTTAATTGCACTATTGTTGTCATCATTGCTATTTTGAGTCAACTACCCCACTTAATGGATACTTTTCTATCTGGAACAGGGCACAGGCAGGAAAGAAGTTAGCAGTAGCAGTGTTCAGGCGTGAAACTGGGGTTGGGTATTTGAGTGTCTTTAGATGCCACCCACTGTGCTGGCTCCACCATTTAATTCAGTTCAACAAGTGTGTTTTGAGGCTCTTCTCTGTAGGTGAGTCAGCAAAGGGTTCTGGGGAGTGCGCCAGGATCCAGGGGACACAATGATGGCCCTGCCTGACAAGCCCTTTGCCTGCATGGGGGGGGTTCCACAATTGTGGCTGCCCAGTTAGTGGTGTCATATGAGGTTGAAGATAGCCTCTCAAAATATCAGAGTGGCCTCTTCGAATCTGAATGAGCACACATGTTAATCCTGACTCCTATTTTTCCCTATATATATAATTTTAATAAAACAATTTCAATTTAAAATCCTTTTTAAGTTAAAAAATCAAATATTAATACAAACTGCAGTAAAGTACGTCTAAGCAAAAGAATTTTATCCCACGTAACCCTTGAAGAAAACATTCCAAATGTTTAAGCAATACATTGACCTAAACCATGAAGACACTGACCCCATGCCATTTGCCCCTGCATCCAAAGCATTTGTCTGCTCTGTGAGAACATGGGTGAGTCATGGCTCTTTAATGACTTGATATATACTTAATATTCAACTTTAATTTTTTTTCTGGTATCAAAGAAACTGAATGATGGTATAGGATCTTATAGTAACTCCCCCAACCAAGCTTCAGAATATATTCTTATGTTTGCAAAAGAGAAACTATATCTTAGGTATCTCTCCTAACCACTTGCCTTTGTCAAACTAAAACAAAATTAAGGGATCAACTAAGATAGGTTAGCAGATAGGTTAGTGAACTGAGATGTTGAACTCATTCATCAAGAATATTTGGAAGAAGGATGTGGGCCCCGGTTGCCTTCTTGATGCCCAGGAAGTCACAGCTCCATCATGCGGAGCCATGCTGGGCTTCCGGGAGGCCTGTTCCTGCAAACTTCCTTTTCCACTGAAGCTGAATGTCCCTTGGTCTCCTGTCAGTCACGGAGACATGGATGGATGAATGGAGGGGCACTGCAGCTTTTGTCTCCAGGTGCAGTCAGAGGCTTGCCATTATTTTCCTGCACCAATGAGAGGATGAGCAGGGGCATCTTGACCTTGACCTTTCATTTTCACTCAATGCCCTCCCCCACTGGGTGGGAAAGTGAAAAAGTTGCTTCATTTTTATGACTTTTATACTTTGACTACAAAAAAAGAAAAGTTTTGAGAGCTAGTTTTAAAAGCACTAAGTATCTTAAAAGCACTAAGGGTGTTTTCTGTGATATCTCTGAGTTGTACACGCTTGATGCTGTAAGAAGTACCCTTAAGGAAAACATCTTTCTACACCAGGTGAGCCTCTTTGCCAGTTTACAGGTGGAGTAACTGCCTCAGCATCCAGCAAAGTCTCCCTGGGCTGCCCACATCCCGTCTTCTGGTCCCCATATAGGAAGGAGGATATGGAGATACAGATGTTTGGCATATTTTTAAATATCTAATGTCCTCCTTTTTGAAATTCTAAAGCTACTTCAAAGGATTTTATGGTAACCATTTCAACTCTAATCTTTATTCTATTTGGAGAAAAGTACGTCTTCGTTTCCCTAAATAGCTTTCCAAATACTGTCCTTAGTTTTGTTCCCAAAGCATCAGCTGGCGCTCCAAGCCCTGATGTCCTCACAGTGAATTCTCCCTAGAAGCCCGCCCTCCTGGCCTTCCTGGACTTCCGTCAGCTCCTCCCCCACAATCTCTGTTTGTGGATGAATTTTTCTTCTCCTAAGTCCTTCTTCTCCAGGCTGACTTCCACCCATCCCTCATGCATCAGTTTTAACATGGATTACCTCAGGAGAGCTCTCCAAACCCCTCAACTTGGACATGGGCTCTTAACCCTCACTCCCCGGCTTGTTGTAGGATGACTTCTAAGGGACTTCATGCAATTGCTTTTTGACTGCATGTTTCCCACTCTGAGTTCAGAGACCATTTCTGTCTTACCATTGTACCCTGGAACCTTGCACAATATTGACACATGGTAGGCGCTAAATAATCTTTGATGGAAGTGAAAGAGAACACAGAGAGAGACAGAGGGAGGAAGGAAGGGTGGAGAGGGAAGAAGAACATGAGAGGAAGGGCAAAAGAAGGCATCAATGCAGAGACATTCTTAATTTGTCCTACCCTCCCCGATACGTGGCCTCTCCCCTCCTCTTTTTTCCTCCCTCCTCTACCATCTCCTCTCCAAGGAAATACCATAATTAAAATAAAATTAAAATCATTCTCACTTCACTGTATACCCCAATTTGATCTGTCTTTTTTGTGTGTGTCTGTCATTCTGAGTCCTGCCTCCTCAATTCAAATATACTATTTCGAAGCTAATTTACTCAACGATCATAAAATATCATGTCTCTCTCACAGGCATCTCAATAAATCAATGACAAAATATATTTCGTTAAAATACTATTTTTTCTTTTGAGGTTTGAAAATCTTACAAAAGTTTAAGTCATCAGATAATTCCCTCTTGACAGTGACATTGCAAAATTAATGGAAGGAAGACACTAGAAATAATCTTATTGCAGGTGCAATTGGAGGTGAGGCACATCTTGGCAAAAATAATTGAGAGAAAAGTGTGGTTTGGGGAGAGTTAGATGTTTTATTTATAATTTGACATCGTTGGTCTCTAATGCGTGAGGTCTCCATTTATTTAACGGAATAGATGTCTATTCTATTTAGTAAAAAGAAGGCTTGACCCCGACCCGAGGTGATGTAGAAATTGGAACAGAGGTATGTCAAAGCCCCTTTAGGACATTTCCAACAGGGTAAAAGATCCCAGGCTGTATTAGGCTGTAAAAGGGAACATTGCACTGTCTGTAAATATGAACTAGATAAAAAAATTTTCAAAGCAACTTTCCATCATCTTCCATGAATTTCTCTTTTATGTGCAGAGAAATCAGGAAGAGAAAAAGAGAGAGCGAGAGCATAGCACAATAGCATTGTAGAGGATAACATATGTTCATCTGCATTGTTGTCTCCAGTTTTCACTTTGTCACCTTAAGGAATCTCTTTCAGTAGTGGCATCGCTCCAGAGCAGGGCAAGAAATCGAGTGTAGTGTGGATTCACTCGTGATGAGCGATTTCAAAAGTTAAAATTACTAAATCTGGGCTGGAAACTAAGAGAGATTGACTTTGGCATTAAAGATGTGTACTGAGCAGTAAAACAGACAGATCCTTATCACATTGTCCCGTAAGAGACTGGGCTGGCCACTCAGAGAAGTTAATGCTAAGGAAATTTAAAGCAAGTGTTAGGAGATACTTCTTCATCTGGTAGAATTCATTCTGAGGAATCTGCTGCCACAGGCAGTCATAAAATCACTGAGGTGGATTTTTCAAAGGGGCAGAATAACGTATGACCCACTCTTCTGGCTAGTTGAGGAAGATAGAAACAATCAATTCGCCTGCTTCTAGAAGATCCCAGTTGATTACAAGGGGGGTCAGCAAAGAGATGTCCCCCACACTTGATCAGGATAATTAAAAACTGTTTGCCCTTGCTCATATGTCCTAGACAGAAAGTGGAAATAGATTAGAAAGCTCCAATGAGCTGATCTAATAAGACAAATGTTTTTTGACGAGGACAAAAAAAATTAAACAATGCAAAAAAGGAAAAAAGCCCACAAATGAAAAAGAGCTATTCCAAGAACCAAATATAGATATTCCTAAAATATTTTTCATAGAAGCGTTTTTTTTTCTGATGAGACAGATATTACATGATGTTTTTGTTTGTTCATCTGATTTTCAGACTAGTATTCTCAGAGTAAATCTGCCAAACTTGAAACCACCTAACAAGCATGACTTTCTTTTTCCGGATGGAGCGTGCAGTCAGAAGTTGTGAATGCACTGTAAATGTTGGCAAGGCAGTGTTAATTCTAAGGTTGTCATGTTGAATGTCAGCAACAAGCCCCTTTGATAAAGGCATCACAGTTTAAATTCAGCTTCTTTTTATTTAATCTACCCCCACCTCTTTAACTTTCTTTTTTTAAAGTGTAGTGTATTCTCCAGGATTTCACTTTATGCTACTACAGGTACATCGAAAGCAATATTACACCTTTGACAGTGTAACGTATGAGATTCTGAAAGAGACACTGAAAAAGACGTTTCACATCTGGTTGGAACCTGCATTTTCATTTGGGGACAAAAGAATGTCACACAACCTACTAAAGGAGAGAAAAAAATAGAAATTTTGCTTTAAAAATTACAAAGTAAAATAAAATCCTGAATAAGTCATCCTAAAACCTAGTCAGTAAATTTCCATAAACTGTAACCATGCTGAAAAGGCAAAGTCACCATTGTCACCTCCTGGAAACCAGGAAGTGTTACTGACTTTAATGGACAGTGACCTGTCTAGTTTCATTACCCATGTTAAAGAAAAAGCAAAAGTCAAGATAAAGGGTGTCTGGAAGTTCTTTCATGATAAATCTCCATAACTTGCAATAGTGGTTATAATTTGGGCATCAGGACATCTTTATTTTCATAAGCATGTTTTATTACACCATTGCCCTGCCCCAAAATTTTTTTAAAAAATATGTAAAAGGGTAAGTATCTTATCTTATGTCAGGAGAATTTTCTGTGGTTGCTATGGCACTGTTGGAAGCTCTACAAGGCATTCTTGCATCAGTGCATGGGACACATCACTCCTACAAGCATTCCTTATGGCAGGCACAATCTCTGGAGCCAGACTTCCTGGGTTTCAGTCCTGGTTCTGCCTTCATCCGCTGAGTTCCTTGGGCAAATCATTTCACTCCCTTTGCCTCAATATCCTTATCTATAAAATAGGCAGAACAATATTGCCTATCCCATAGGACTGTTTTAAGTTTAAATCAATGTAAAATAACTAAAACTATGCCTGGTACATAATAGTGTTGAGTCATTTTTATTTTCCTTCAATCCCCAGAAAGTCTGGGTTTAAGGTAATTCATCTTTATGCTGGAAGAAACCAGGACAGCACGGGTCATTTCCTCCTTAAAGGATTTGGGGTTCGGAATGGGAGAAGGTTCCATGGTCACTCTCGCTCCCCATTCTGTTCCCTACCCTTTCTCCTGCCAGGTTTCTCCTTGAACTCTGTGCTCTGCAATCCAGCTAAGTTCCCCGACTCCTTACTTCTCTTCCCTTGGCCTGGAATAGCTTCCTCTTCTCTCCCCGCACCAAACGCTGACTTGGCTCACTCACAAGCATCCATCAGCCCTCTGTTTTGATGTCATCACTTCTGAGAAAAACTCGCCAAACCTGAGTTAGGTGCTGCCTGTACATGCACTCACAGCCTTCATCCTTCAGTCGCCGTCTTCCCATTATCTGCTTACTCTGTCTCCACCATTAGACCCCACGCTCCACTTGGCAGAGGCTTGGTCTCGTCCATGAGCCACTGTTCCCCATCACTGAGCTCCAATTCTGACACACTGAATGGACGAAAGAAACCATCCAGACCAACAGGAAAGCCTCCTCCTTCCTCAGGAACATGCTTTCTATTTCCATTTGCATTTACTCTACAAAATCACCTGCTGATCAGGGTCTTTTCAAACGAAATGAATGATTTGGTTATTGTATTCAAAGCCAGCATTACAGAAGAACGGTGCTGGGTTTGTGTGGAAATCACTGGTGTATCTTCCATAAAGCGAGCACTGGGAAAATCTATAATGCCGTCTGAATTGGGGAAAGTTCAAAGCAAATTAAAATGGGAGAAATACTTCCTTTGGGGCTTATTTCGGCCAATGAGTGGTGGTGGTTGCTTACATAAGTCTAAACTTAATTGCTTAATCATATTGCAGCATTTACACTTATCTCCCAGAGTATGCAAAATAGTACTAACCTTATCATCTTTTCAGTACAAATATCATATACTGGGTTTTATGGTGAATGATTGGAATGGGGAAAAAAATAGATCAAGCAATTAGACACAAGCATAGTGAGATAAAAGTCTGACTCAAGCAACTCACTCTCCCATTTTACTCATACCTGAAAGATGCAGTTAATAGAGGCAGAAGCATGGAACAATCCAGGTGAATGATTCAGTTGTTTATTTCTCTTTGTGAAAGCAGGTTAAATATACATTTAGAGGCCTACGATCACAACGGTAACAACAGCTTAGCACACTGGGGCAGGAGCCGCACACAGGTCCTCTCCTAAGCACTGTCCATGCATAACTTCATTTAATCATCACATGGCTCCTACAGGGTATGGAATGATTAAAAAAACAATATTTGAAATTGGTAGATACTGACAGGCATACGTAGAATAGATAAACAAGATTATACTGTATAGCACAGGGAAATACATACAAGATCTCTTGGTAGCTCACAGAGAAAACACTGTGACAAGAAATATATCTATGTTCATATAGAACTGAAAAATTGTGCTCTACAGTGGAAATTGACACAACATTGTAAAACTGAATGTAACTCAATAAAAATAAATAAATGAAGTACAAAAAAAAAGTATAGTTCAGTATTTTGAGGCTACAAGATGGAGAAATTTTGCCCAAGGTCATTCACCTGAGAATCAACAGAGTCAGCCTTCAAACCCTTGGTCACTTGATTCCTGAGTTGTGTTTCTTCCCTTCTAGCCAACACAGCAGCCCTCACCCAAACTCAGACAAGAAGATGTACTGGGGAAAACCTGAGGTCTGGAATTTCAAAACACAAATTAATCACCAGTTCGAATAGATCACTCCATCTCTGTTTCATCACTTTTTTAACATGAGAAGAATAATATTCTTATCTGCCCTGCCTGCCTCTCAAAGTTCCCATGATGATCAAGTGAGATGTTTTACATGCAAGAACTTAGGAAACAGGAACGTGCTACGCAAATATCAGTCGATAGGCTTTGTTTACCAGCATAGCCTGTTGATGGATTTGTATAAATTTAGTTGGTACTTACAGAATATTTTATGTATGACTGTTGAAAGTGAGTTCCACCTTTATCAGACATGATAAATGGATGAAAATGATAGGCTTTGCCCACAGAGATAGCTGGATGTGATTTGAAGAAGGAAGTGGCTGTCCCATAACTGTACTCTGGGTTTAGGGAAACAGTGCCTGGTACCTACAGAACATCAAAGACAAGGTTCCTCTTCTGAACGCGGCTGTGCCTGGGAACAGCACTGCTTACAGAGTAAGCAAAGGCAAATCCATTTGAATAACAGGGACTTTAAGGGGATTAAAAAGTGATCTTATCTAAAGAATAGACCAGTATCTCTGTATTTATTTACTTGGAGAAGACCGATCATTTACAAGGTTTTAATTTTTTTGTTTTATATCCTATACACCTTTTCCCCAACATATTTTTCTATAGAAAGTGAAAATGTAGAAGATGTTATCTACCTCTATTACATGTGCAAAGCTCTGGGAAAACGTAGCATTAAAGAAAAGAAGGTAACCTGAGATCCAATTTCATCTATCAGACTTTTCCGTCTGTCCTTAGCATCCTAACTCTCCTTGCTTTCAATGTAAAATAACACCCTTGAGTATAATAATTTATTTTCTCTCCTGTGTTTACTGAGTATTCAAGGATACGGTTCAGTCCTAGAATAGATAGATATCTGTAATTTCTCTCTGCCCAGCATCCATTCCCTCTTTATGAAATAGAACCTCCATTTTTATGTTAGGACACCATCCCCTTTCTCTACTCTCAGTCCTTAAGGTTTAAATGGGGCAGACTTCACCCCCTGGTTTCAGTAGTTGGCATGTAACTGAAACCCATTCAATCAAAATGATGGTGATTTTTCCAAGGCTGGGCATGCGACCAATTCAGACCTATGGATGTCAACCCTGAAATGTTTGATGCAACTACAGAGAAAAGAAGAGCTAAACTACCAAGATATAATCTTTGCATTATTAGGCGCCATCTTTGCTGCCACTTGAAGAGAATCTACTTGACAATGAAGCCAACATAAAGAAAAGCAGAAGCAAAAGATTAAAAAAAAAATTGTAATTGTCATAGTATTACTTACACACTTAGTTCTTCCTTGTTCTTTTCCATTATTTGAAGCAATATATTCTCTTTTTGATCAAGCCAACTTCTGCTCAGTTTCTGTTAATTGCAACTGAATGGAACTTCACTAACCATGAAGATTTATCAGTTGTGCAGAGTTTCTGTGCATTACATATATTGTCTGTCAGCACTCTGGTAGCATCTCAGAAAGCACAGATGAAAAGAGAATGTGTAGAGCTGCATTTACTTCTTTTGTTTCATTTTCCTTCCCTGTTCTTGATTATTCCAGAATATTGAGTAATAGTAACAGCAAATATGTGTATAGTACAAGCAATATAAAAGGCACTTTTTAAATCCCATGTCTTAGTTATAATTATTATTCTTGACTAAGGAAACTAAAGACAGAAAAAAAATTTCTGTATTTCAAAATAGCACTGGAGATATACATTGAGCCTCAATGTAACATCTTCCAGATGTCAACACATGCATTTTTCTCAACATAAGAGTCTAGCAAAAGCACCCCAAGTTGAGAGTCAAATTATGCTTCTCATCTTGCCATTGAAAAACTCCTGAGGCTTGGAGAAATAAACCTAATTATTTCTTTTGCACCAGGAAATCTACAACGCCAGAAAAAAGGATGGAAACAAACCTTGTGCTCTAACATTGGTCTTGAAAATCAGAGCTTTGAATTCTAGTCCCAATGTCACCATTAACTGGCTACGTGAACTTGGACATATGTCATTGTCTTGAGTATCTATAAAATTAAGTCAGTGACATACAGCCTCCTTAT